GGATGTTGAATTGAGTTTGCGTTCAAGCAATATTCAATATTCTGGTCACTCATTTCAATGTTAATTTTTTGGGTTTGAGTAAACTGTTTTCTAATCTATTGAAAATATCAGTTAAAAGTGTTATAATATTAAAGTAAGTCTAATTGATTAAGTAGTTAATATTATAATAAGTATACAATAAAAATCTAAACCATTATATTTTATATTTATAGTTTTTTTTAATAAACTTTTGAATAAAGTCGGTTTAATAAAGTCTAAATCCTTTTATATATGATTATTGATTTGTTTAAATTATTTAGAAGATTAATTGACTCTAACCTTGGCTGACCGATCTTCTCATTATCTGAATGATCAGTCATGTTAATTTGATCAATAATATACCGAATAGTACTTATACTACATGATATTTTGTTATCGTGATAATTAATTAGTGTTAACAGTTTTAACTTAATTAATATATTAAATTTTAATATTAAATATATAGGTAGATTTATGATTGAAATAGTCTTAATATATGTTCAGTGATAATTATATCCTATATAAAAAAAAAGTCTCTAATAAAACGACCAAAAAAGTTACGAAGTATTCTTCTAAAATGAATATGTAATTATTGTATGATAACAGTTTTGATTATACTAAAATAGAAATAGAAAGATTGAGAATTTTAAGTATTGGGAAGGGAGAAGTGGTAATTTAAAGTGGTGAAGTTGTTTATATATAGCTCCCGCTACGGGAATTCAGTCTTAACTCGTTCTTTCATCACTACACGATCAAAAACAGTTTCCTTCCTCCTTCTCTTGTAACCGTAACTCGTTCCTTCTCTAATGGAAGACGAAGTTAACAGAGAACTCGACCTTCTCCCACCGTCGCGCTCCGATTCCTCTCTCCTCCGCCTGCGCTCGGCGGTGTCCTCCTCCTCCACCACAGACTGCGGTGGCGCCCCGTCGCTGGACCTGCAGCTGTCGATCAGCGTGCGTCCGCCGGCGGCGATGCTGATGTGCGACGGCGTGGATGCGCTGAAGTGGCAGGCCGCGGAGCAAATCCGGCTGGCGGCGTTGGAGAAAGCGTACGCGGAGCGTATGCGGGAACTGACGCGGCGCGAGATGGAGATGGCGCAGACGGAGTTCGCACGTGCGCGGCAAATGTGGGAGCGTGCGAGGGAGGAGGTAGAGCGAGCTGAGAGGATCAAGGAACGCGCGACCAGACAGGTGGATTCGACGTGCATGGAGATCACTTGCCATTCCTGTAGGCAAAGGTTCAGGCCCGCTTGATCCCACAAACACCACTACCTTCCATGATCGCTTTCTTTTGCCTCTGTTTCTGTTTTCTGTTTCTCTAACAAACCAACCACAATAACACTCCCCTTAATGAATTAACCGTTTTCCCCTTCCTCACAATAACACTTAACTACATGCGTGTGTTTCCTCTGTATATCGTTAATTTCATTCCATGTTTTTATTTCCAAGATACATACATGTGTTTGGCGGTGAACAGACAGCACAATTAATACTTACGTACGCGAGTGAGGTCCCGTGAGAGGACGGAGATTCAAGACTGAGCACCCAATCCTGTTTCCTTAAATTATTTCTGCGAATCTGTTTCTTTTACCCTTTTCAGTTAAAAGGATAAATCACAGTCCAGAAATGAACCAGCGTGGTGGTAACCAGTGCCGAACCTTTAGTTTTCAACTTTTCATAAACGTCTGTTATATAATTATTGCTCTTATTACACATCTCGAGGATTGCAACCCAGATATATTACCACAACTTGTGTGTTTCTGCTCTTGAATGCACAAAAACTAATATTATTGTCTAAGAAGGGCGATCTTCCATCTAAATCATTACATTGCTGTCCATTCTATCTTATTCACCAGTGCGTTACTATTGTATTGCTATTGCCCTTTCAAGCAAAATTAACTACATTCTATATATGTTAATATCTGTGTTTCGATATGCTTAATTAATTATTATATAAAACATACAGTGCTGAAACTGATCGCGAATAACGGAGTGGTGATAAACTTGGTGAGACAAGACCCAAGTTGGGAACTTGGATGACGATAGAACAAATGAATCGGAACAAAAAGCATAGTATACCACCAATCACAAAGACTAGATAGCTGTATCCACTTGTATTCAACTTCTTAACTTTTGCATATCACCCACTATCCCTGTCTATTTTGGATCGGATTACTGACTAAAAGCATCAATCAGAACAGTGAACAGTAGTCCTCCTTTTCGAAGATGTTGCAAGACTGGAATTAGCTTGATATGTCGGCAACCCCTTTTTTTTCTGTACGAAAAAAAGGGTCTTAGATTAGGGAAAGTAAGGAAAGAAACACTAGAATTTTTTATCTTATGAAATTTTGTATAATCCTGAAATCCAATTCTCGAGTTCAACTTTTGCAGCAAGTAATAAAGCAAGAGAGTCAATTATCGTAGTCTGCAATTGTCAAGCAACCTCTGATCTAAATAATATAACACTCAGATACGTACAGTGAAAAGGGTCAAGGGTGTGACACAATAATACAGTAGCCACTTTGATTCTATTATGAACTGAAAAAGTATCCAGTGGGCGCAAATCATAGACTTTGCGAAAAGTACGTTTGAGAAACGTTAGGGAAGGCATGAAGTCGCAATCCTCATAAGTCAAATTTGTATCTAGTCTTCCATTTATTCCGAATATGATTTTATTTTATTCAGTAATAATCTAGATATTATGGGTTCATGAATTGCCTTACTAACTACTAGGGGTCTTTGTTACCCACTATTGCACGACAAGCTTCAAAAGTAAGTTACTGCCTCCGTGTCCCTTTTATACGCTATTTTCATCTCATATTATTTTATGTCATTTTTTTCTTCAAAATAATAAAAAGATTAAACATACATCCTAATTTTGCTATTACTTATTTTTCAAATAAGAGAGTGCAAAAAATTATGTAAATGGTGATTATGTCACAACCTTAATTGTTCTGCATCTTTCTGGATGTTTGATTTAACAAATGGCTTCTTTTCTGCTTTAGGGTACTGAAATCAGCATTATTTGATTCCATATTTTAGGATAGTATCACCCGTAAGTTATTATCATCAAAATCAGATGTTTGTTTGCAGCAAATTGCGCAACAGCCTCAATTATGAGTATATTTTTCCTTTGAAAATTGAAAATCATCGGAAAATGATGGGATATATAATCAAAACGGTATTTCTCAAACAAAATAATCATAGTCTCCTTGTCCACGAGGAAAACTTGGGTCATTCTAGGTTCTTTTTGAAATTTGGAACGGGGGCAAAAACTACAATATGAACCACAGAAAAACAATAATGCTTATTTTTGAATCCAAACTTAGATAAAACATTGATGAGCTCGGTCATGAATGAAGATCAAACCGTACTCCGACATATGTCCAGCTGAATCACAGTTGCATTGTCTTATATATTTTATTTGGTTACAATCATAGAAATGCTAGAACAATCAATCAATTTCGTTCAGAAAGTCGATAGCACGGTAAAGATGTAGGACATGTTTTCCGATCCATCAAACTAGTCATCATGACAAAACCTTAACATTTGTCTTTTCAGGTTGTCCGCATATAATTGTCAAGCGATACTGTTTTGCTTGGATTGGGGAAAATTATGTGTGCATATACACGATGGTTACACATGCATGAACCATCATACACAGAAGATATCTCCTTTTATTATTTCATTGTTAATATCTGGGACAACCAAATCTACATCGGCATTGCAGGGATATGCAGTGCACAGTACACAACACCCGTACTTATTATTAGTGAATTTCCATACACTACTGAGATTCATCCACCTCCGTTTTGGGGTTGATTCAGCTCCAAATATATAGTAAAGGAGATAAAGGAAACCAGTAAATAATCATTATAACTATGCATTTCTATAGCAATATGACATTTTAGTTCAAGCAACTAATAATTTGCTTTAATTATTGAGAACTACTTTAACTACTATCTAGGAAGTTGAAAAAATCTAGCTACCTAGGTACTTGTTAGGTTATATAGCAATTAAATCTGCTACAATCCAAGCTTGTCAATTACTTTGAAGAGGAGAGGAAGCCATAATAATAATGATAATAAAAAAAATAAAAATAAAAATAGTGAATGTTGATGTTGTCATGTGAAGATTGAGGTTGAGCAAGGTTGATATAAAGTTGTTCCTGACATAAAGGAGAAATATTTCCAAAAATGAGGGAACCGTTTTCCATGTCTATCTAGGCAGGAAGAAGAAAAGGAAAATATGGAATGGAATGAGGAAGATTGTTGAATCAATCATTTAACCAATCAGGTAAAAAAGGAAGCTAGTTTTGGAAAGTATAGGAAAGTTCTGATCCTGCTAAACTAAAACGCTTGTAGAGTCACACCATGTGAGGTTATTGTGGAGCACCCTTTAATTCCATTATTGGACTTTGCCACTATCTGCTCTTCGGATGCTTAATTACCAATTTCATCACGAAAGAGATCAACTCAACTTCTTGTTACGGCCACGTACATTATGACAAATTCTATTATTTCTTCGTTTTCTTATATTATTCATCTTACATAATAGGAGCATGGGGCAGAAGAACATGAGAAACAACTTAAAGCATCTCCTTCACTTTGCCCTATTAATCTTACCTCAAATTATATACTATACTTTTCCCCATTCATTATCAGATATCAGCTACTTTCTATCCATATCATCTCGATTTCACAATTCCTTCATCTGCCCAATCTTTCATTATATTCATTAGATGAATGAAAAAGTTTATTACAAGAAATATATAATACTAATTACTGTTTTCTTACAAACATTACTCATTCATAAAGATTCTAAATATGTTCACCAATATAACATCATTATTAATTAAATCGTCATGGTATAATTTTTTTTGTCCCCATGTTACTTATTATTTTTCAATGGGACATTGTGGACTGGTCTCATATAAACTTATTAGTTTTGACTAAATTTGGAAATGATATACAATAATGGCTCATGCAATTCTACTTCCTATTCTCAAGATGTTATTCCTAATTACAAGGTTTTGAAAAGAAAAATTCAGTATTTGATTAAAAAACACTTGCAAAGTTTATTATGGAAAAAAAATCTTGATATAGTTCTTAGCTCTACATAATATATTATAAGTAAAGTTGAAATTTGGCACATTTAAAAAAAAAACAAGAAAAACTTTATAAAAGTTTCTTTAGAAAATCTTTCAACACTCCATTTATAACATATTTAAATTGTTTGAAGAAGGAATTTGCTTCTAGTCTTGCTTGTTACATGCGAAAAGTTGGTGTGTCAAAGGGTAGATATATGTGTATGGATTCCAAAAAGTTTTCAAGAAAGTGATTAACCATTTAAGAACCAATATGATATGGGGACTGAACTTCAGCTTTTAAAATTTGTTTTACAAGTGTTTCTGCAACTCAAGAAGATAATGTGATATTTTGACAATGGTTATTCAAGGGTCATCATTCTTTCTTGGTTATTCAAGGCTGATTGAAGTCTAGAGAATATAGTCATAAATGCACAAATTGCCTTGTGTGGGAACACAAGTCTCCGCAATGGCGCCAAAAACTTGTTAACTTTTTAACAAGTATACCAAATCGTTCCAAGTAATACAATGAATAAGTAAAAGTATCGTCTCCAAGGGACTTGTGCAACACATGACAATTCTTCCTTTTATAACTCAATTAG